AGTATAAGATGTTCAGAAACAAAGGTAGCATTAAGATTTTCAAGTGACTTTCATTTTTTTTTCAAAGTACCTAAATTTCTGGATTTTGGAGACAGGGTCTTGCTCTGTAGCCTAGGCTGGCCTCCAATTTATGATGCTCCTCCCTCAGCTACCCAGGTGTTGGGGTTATAGGCTAGACATGCATAAACTCAATAGGGAGTTCTTGCACAGTATGTCGTTTTCAAAACAGGACAACCAGCTTGCTGTTTTCTGTCCTCATTTCTGAAACTCGACCCACTGCAAAGAAGAGGCTTTCTGCAGCCCCCTATTTGTCTGGCCATGGCTCTCACAAGCAGGTGTGGGTCCACGGGGGGCATAGGCGGTGGTCTGCTCTCATCTTTCTGGTCCTCAAATCCCTGGTAATTGTATTCTTCTGGAACGTATAGAGCTGCCTGAAGAGCTGCCCACTTTTGTTCAGGGGGGAACCAGTGGACAGAAGCATCATGAATGTGTCCATGTACCTGGAGCCCAAGGATGCTCAGCCACCTCCCGTCCTCCCAGAATCTGTGCAGTGTAAGGGTACGCTTCCTGTAGGGTCTCTGTCATCCTCTCCCAGTGGCTCTGAAGTGTCCCCAGTGTCGGTCATCTTGGAAAGGGCATCCTGTTGACTAGTTGCTCCATAAAGGGTGACTGGACAGGGCTGTCCCCAGGGAAACCCTTGTGAGATAGTGGATGTGACAGACACTACTTGCCTTCCTTGGCCCCCCTGAGAATATCTGTGTCAAGGGTGTTAAGAACTGCAATTTCAAGTTGGCTGAACAGTGTGTCAGGCCCAGCAGTAACTTCCAGGAGCTGGCACTACGGCGGGAAGAAAAGCAGAAGCACCTGTCGGGCTCTGCTGTGAAGCCAGAGGCAAAGGTCCCACTGGGAAGCACACACACCACCTTTGGAGACAACCTCGGCCAGAGTTTCACCTTAGCTGGAGGTGAATCATGTGGGACCCGTCTGCTGATGAGTGAAGATGAGTTCTCCCCACAGGAGCCTTTCCTTGTGCGCACTGAGCTATGTCCGCAGCCCTTTTTTATTTTTTGAATAGGGTCCACTAAGTTGCCCAGCCTGGCCTCGATCTTGGAGTCCTCCCTGCTGCAGTCCTCCCTTCTGGGTGCTGGACTTACAGGCCTATCTAAGGCTAGTGTCCTACTCACTGTTTTGTAAGCTATGGGTCATGGTTTCCACTGTAGAACCCCAGAAATCAGAGACCATCCCCATAGGTCTGCTGTGCCCCAAGCTCCACCCAGCTCTCCATAGGGCTGCTGAGGTCCCAGCACCACCTTCTCAGCCTAAGCCCATCCATGCATTCTGTTTGCTTTGTTGAAGCCAAATATTGTGTTCTTTCAGAGCTGCCTAGCTGTTTTTACCATTTTCCTAAATGAAGCCCCCCAAAAGAAAAGTGCCTTTCATCATTTAAAAAAAATGTTAGTCTTCATTGGTCTCTAATGTGTAGGCCAATGAAAAGTGCTTAACATTTTTTGTAACTTGTTTTTAAACTGAACCTTGAAGAAACATTACTAAGTTATTTGAATGTGGAACATTTACTTTTTTCATGTTGTCTTGTTTCTGTGGTTAGTCCCTCAGATGTTTTTCTTTGAAGATAAATTTATGCATGTCTTTTGTGTTTTAATCAGTTCTTTACATTGGATTCACATTTCTCCTATAATCTGCGTTAGCAAAGTCACTTTTATAAATCTTAATTGTCTGTTACTTGTCTCTAAAAAAAACCCAAAAAAACCAAAACTATTGTTATTTTGAACATCTGAGGGAAAACGAGTGTTTTTAATTTTCAGTAGTTGACCTTAGGGAGGCACCAAGAAAACTCTGATTCTCTTGAGGTGCTTCACAGATTGCTCTTTACTGATGGAACAATGTCCAATCTTCCTGAGTCCCAGAGACACCATGTAAGGCAATGTGCTACACCCCTTACTGGCTTGTTTTCCCTCCCTGAGATATAATGATGTAGGAAAGGCTGAAGAGTGAAAATTAATTTGAAATGACTTAAGAGTTAGCGTCTTAGCCCACGTGATATTCTTGTTCTCATTTCCACCCGTTACCCTGAAAACAGCAGATTAACCCCAAGATAGTCCATTATTATACTGTGTGATTGGGTCATCTGGTGTAGTCCAGTGGAATCTAGGTTGCATTGGATGACCAAACTTCTAGTGAGTAAAGGCCTACTAGGTTCTGTGGTTTTCTGTATATATCATTCTTGAGTAGGTCATCAAAGGTATCTCCTACATTGTAATAATCATATAATCTATCCATGATACTTCTGTTCAGCAGAAACTGCTTAAAATAATTTTCATGAAAGTAAATGTGGATTTTACAACTTAGGCAATTTTTAAAACTTAGTTTGGTAAAAATACATTATTTCTAGAAATTTGACTAAAAATACAGATTTGGTGCCAGTTGCAATAATGCTGCCTATAATCCCAACTACTCAGAAGGCTGAGACAGGAGGATTTCAAGTTTAAGCCTAGCCTGGGCAATTTAGTGAAAATTGTCTCAAAAGTACAAGTCTGAGAATGTCGCTCTGTATTATATAGAGAGCCTGAATCCAGGGCCTCTATATAAACTAAAATATATATATTAATTTGTAGCTGGTAAGTTTTCACTTTTTCTAGCCATCATTGTTTTTGGTGTTGTCACTGAAGTGCCTGCCCAGCACTATATACTAAAGACAGTTTCTCCTAAACACAAGCAAATGGGACTGCCATCATCTTGAGTACCATAGTAGTGAATGTGGATAAAACACAAGATTTATTATCCTTTCATATATGAAAGTTGCTTGTCTTTTGTTGGATCTGTTGGTCCACTTGATGTTCAACTAGTTCTTCTGTTAGCTTCTCTTCTTGGTTTCATTTCTATGATTCTTTTATTTTCAGTGATGTTTTTTGACAGTTAACTAAGATACACTTAACCAATCATGGTTTTTAATTTTCTACAATACTTGACTAATGTATGAGTGACTCCATTTTAACATTAAATATATACTCTGGGCACAAAATTTAAAGTGAAATTGCATCAAAACATAGGAAAATTATATTACTGTGCATTTTGAAACTATGAAAGAGTATTGCAAATATTCAAAACCGAAATGCCAGCTTTCTAGTTTCAGCTAATTAATTTAATATTAATTTCTTATTAGATGTTTAAACAGTAGTTAGCTTTATTTGTATCTACTCTGCAGTGGAAATGTTAAACCATGACAGCTTTTGCTATAGCTGTCAACTACTCAATTTGTAGAGCAGAATATTCATTCATGTTGGGGGGGTGGTATTTTGTGCTTAATCTGAGTTTAAAAATAACGTCAGAAAATGTTAAGCATGTCCTTTTTGAGAAAAATATAATGTTTCTAATTGTCTTGTTGCCATGGTGGTTCAAGTGAATTAGAAGTATTTAACTGCAATCTTGAATTACAAAGTTGAGATGTATATATCAGAAGCTCAACTGGATGTAAAGTAAATGAGCAGTTACCTGGTGGATTTCTTTAAATAATTGGTTTAATCCATAATCCCATAACAGAACACAGCTTCACCTTAGTATTTTTTTCCATTCAACAGTGCTCTGATAAGTTACTATTTTTTTGTTCATTAGGAAAATAAGTTTCTAGGGTCTTTAAATGCTGGATTTTCTTTTGTCTCTCCTATCCATGGCAGCTACAAAACAAAAAATCACTCAAAATATTTTACATGTTAAATACATGTTAAATACAGGTTTACATGTAAGCTCTCTTCTCAGTAGAGAGTCACCATACCTCACAGTTCAAAGTGTATTCTATAGATCAGTAACATTCTACTGACATGTAATTGCAATTTACTATGCAGCAAAAATGATTCAAGAAAATAATGTACAGTGTCTACCTTTGTATAGAAATTGCTTATGTTACTTTTAATATTTGTACTTGGGTAAATGCCTATGTATGTATAGGAATGTCACAATGCAAGATGCTGCTAGCTCAGGCACAAAGTATTAAAATTATTTTGTGAAGATTGGTGGTTATATTAAAACTGTCGTGCCATTATACCTCAAAGATTGAAAAGTTCATTCATAGGCTTTTGTCTCCAAAGTTCTTATCTTTTGGGTAAAAGTAACTCAGTTTTACTCCCAGATTAAAAATGATGAATAGGGGGCTGAGGAGATGGCTCAGTGGAATAAGCGCTTCGCTGGCAAGCCCAAGGGCCTGAGTTCAATCCCCGGTTCCACAAAAATAAATAAATAAATAAATAAATAAATGAAAGAAAATGATGAATAAATATTGGATATGGAGCAACACTGCAATGACACGAAATTACAGCCATCAGACTACACAGTCTCCAAATTCCAGCTAACATATTCTGAAAATTTAGTTGAGCAACTTTGGAGTTGGATTCAAGGGGACTGATGCCTGAAGCCTGGGCAGGATCACCTCCAGCAATGGAAAAATCGCTGTTTTCATAGTATTCCTCTCCCTCTTCTAGCGTGACTGTGTACTGTCCTTCACCAAATTTAACCTTCCCTCAAAACAGCACCATTATTTTAGCTAGCACTCAGCACAATATTGCTGACAAAACAGTGGCAGCCAGTGGTCATAAAATTCATTGATTTCAGTGCATTTTTAGGATCAATGAAATAAAAATACACAAAACATGGAACAAACAGTAGAAGTAACAGCTACCACTTTTTTGGACCAGGTTTCAATGTAGTTTAACCTGGTCTTGAACTATGTAGTCCAGCCTGGCTTCAAACTTATGGCAGTCCTCCTGCTTCAGCTTCCAAGTGCTGGTGTGTGCCATCCCCAGCCCCCACTGATGATACCTTTCCAAAGCAAACTGTTCACAGATGTGAATATAGTTCATGTTTGATGCAGTTTTTCATAAAAGTTTATTTACAGTGTGGCTCAGAAATTAATGTTAAAGCCAAATCTTAGGCATAGGTAATTTTACTTCAAATAGTTCAGTGATAAATACAGTAGAAAATTATATTTTACATTCTTACTAAATTTATTTAACATAATTTTTAATTACCAGAGTTTACCTAATGAAGCTGTTGTCAAGATCGTAGGACTCCTGAAAAGATTTTGTTCTAGGCATAGTTCATCTGTGCAGGTCTCTCAGTAAGTAGTTAGCCCTCTATCAGAAGGATTTCTATTCTGGAAAGCCAACTTTAGCTCACTGCTTGCAGTGAAATCCAAAATCCAGTTGAAGTGGTACAACTCAAAAGATGAGAAATAGCCCATTCTTCCTTTCCAAGTTTGTTTTACAAAGGGTGTGTGAAACTAAATGCTGTGACTGAGAGTTCAATAGTGACTCGAGCAAAGCACGCCAGGATTCTAACAGGAGTTGTTTGTATGAACAGTTTAATATAACATGGAATGCAAAAGATTAAAGTACCTTAATTCCTCAACTTTAAAAAATAATTAAAATAAATAAAACAGGACAGTGACCAGAAAAGTAGCACTATTGTAATCACGTTAAATAGAAAAACTAGCATCAACATTATGAAGATAAGACAAATGCAATGCCAAACATTTTTAAATATTCCATATGATTTTGTAATATTACATGTTTCACAAAAACATTAACCAAAAGGCTTCAGTACCCATTTTAAAAAAAGTAAAAGTACATAAGCCAAGAGCTGCTAATTCACTTCAAAAATACCTTAGTTTCAACCCTTATATTCATTCTTAGGTAATTCTAATGAGTACTGTTTCACAGATAATGTAGGTAGTACTTTATATAGAACTGTAAATTTTTGGTAAATAAAACATTTGTTTTACTCTGAATCCTATCAGTTTCATATTTCTTTAAAAGGCTGATCAAATAGTTTGCCAATATCAGGATCAGCAAATGTTAGATGTACTATAGTGATTCAACTTCCTATAATGTGTGAGAAATGACACCCACAAGTGAATTTAGATAATCTCTTTGAAACAAAAATAGTTTTATGTGTTAAGAAACAACCTTAGTCAGTTTTTTTAAAAAATAAGCAGCGTAGCTTCTTACTACTCACTTTACTACCAAGAAATTAAGCCAAATTTAGAAAAATACAATGCAATAAAAGATTCAAGTTAAAAATATATTCATTTGGTTACAAATCATCCCCCTTATAATATTTATAGTCTAAACTCACAGCTTGTCCCACAGCCCAAGGTAAGCTAAATGTCACTACACTTAGGATATTACGTGGGGTTTTTCAGCTCAGTGTCGATGGAGGCCACTGGGCTGCAGCAACATCAGCTCCGTTAATTCTCTTAGGAGAGTTTTAGTTCAGAAACCTCCGGCACATGTAATTTTCTTCAGACACTGTATATCCAAACTTTTTATAGAAACCAATATTCTGTGGTAGACATTCAAGAGTAATCTTATAACAGTTCAGTTTCTTGCTTAACAAAGTAAGAGTTGACAATAACCTGAAATTTTAAAAAAGGGTAAGAAAGCATTATTTAAAAAGGATTTTAGTAACAACATGAATAAATTCACTAAATTGTATAAAAAAGTATTAGAAATAGTTTAGATCCTGGCCTGTCTCAGTGTGTTCATTTAGATGTTAGAATTGTATGCAGATAAGCATTTAAATCATTTTAGTTTCAAGTATACTTTAATATTACTATTAAGTAGGAAAACATTAAACTCTAAATAAACCCTTTTGAAATTTTTTAACACTGAAGTCTATCAACCTAAAAATATGGCCAAAATTATTTTATTAAAGGTCTTTGTTCTAAACCTGTTCAAACTAAACATGAACATTCTCACATAAAGTGGGAGCATAAAAGTTTTGTTGCTTAATAATTTTAAAGCTATTCTAACCTTCATGAAAAATAGGGGTTAATTCATTCACCATTGGGCTAAGTATTTGTGGACAGAAAGCCAAGGAAAACCCATCTTTGTAAGTTCTTAAAGAATCAAAATCTAAGTAAAAATGTGGTTAAGGGGCTGGGGAGATGGCTCAGTAGAATAAGTGCTTGCCTGGCAAGCGCAAGGGCCTGAGTTCCATCCCCAGTTCCACTAAAAAGAAAAAAAAAAAATGTAGTTAAGTTTCATAGGGGATAAAATTATAGAAGGTTTAGAAAATTTTAAAAGTTTTATATTTGAACAGACTAAAAAATTTACTATTTTTTGTTTTGTATTTTAGGGAAGGGTCTATAGGGTGTTCAGAGTCTCACTACAAGATCAGACTCATAGTGATCCGCCCAACAGACTAAAAAATTTAAATCCTGAAGTTTTTGTATAAAATTATAAAAAGTCTTCCCTGGCAAGCGCAAGGGCCTGAGTTCAATCACTGGTTCTGCGCCCCCCCCCCCAAAAAAAATCATAAAAGGTATGACTGAGTTGAATAGACAGTAGTAGAAATCCATCTGTTTTCTTCACTGATACATTCCAAATACCTAGGATAGTATCTGGTACTTACAATTTACTGAGGCATATTTTAGAACTCCAAAGATTAAAAACAAATTCTATCATAAAATAGCTGTACATTTTACAACACTTCAATACTTCCTTTGTTTTTAAAGTTAAGATGTCAGTGTTGGTAATGATGTATACCTTCTATTCTCAAACTGAGGCAGAACTACACATACTATTAAACTCAGCTCAAGCTACATCAGAATGAATTCATACTTACTCCTAAACAGAACTCAAACAGAAGAACAAATATCCTGAAGAGACTGAAATAGTACTCAGGGTTACCTTATTTCTGCTTACTTACAATTTGCCAAGCTGCTTTCCTCTGCATTCATCACTAACAACGACATCTTCTACTCTTCCTCTCTGAAAATATTGACAGTGTTTAAGACTGTGATACAGTGTATTTTTGTGCAGTGCAGGGGGACTGAACCCAGAGCCTAACATAACATGCTAGAGACAAGTGCCCTACTCAGCAACATCCCCCCATCGCTAGTCTAGTTTTTAGTGAAACAAGTAATAGTTGGCAAGAATTTAGTGATGGGCCGGGGAGATGGCTCAGTGGAATAAGTGCTTCCCTGGAAAATGCAAGTGCCTGAGTTCAATCCCCGGTTCCGCCAAAAAAAAAAAAAAGAATTTAGTGATAAATATTTTGAAAACTTGAGCTTTATAAAAAACTTCAAAACCTAGGGCCGGGGAGCTGGCTCAGTAGAATAAGTGCTTGCCTTGCAAGCGCAAGGGCCTGAGTTCCATCCCCAGTTCTGCCAAAAAAAACCCTTTTTTTAATTGTCCTAGAGGAAATAGCTTTAAAGAATCAATGTAGGGCTTAATTACTTTTGTACTTTTTTGACTATACTCCTAACCTCCCTAATCCATTTTTTAAAAGTAAATCTCAGAATCCATATGAAAGTGTAATCTTGTCATAAAGTTTTTTGCATAGTAGTAATTTATTTTAAACAGCCAGGTAAGATTTCTCTTTTCCTAGTGCAGAAGCCTCATAACCCCATCAGAATCCATCGGCTATAGACTATATGCCAAATGTTCCTAAAATCCTTTTTCTTTTTTGCAAGGGATTGAACACTATTCACAGCTACCCATCCTTTTCAGTTTCTGTACTAAGACAAGGTCTTCCTAAGTTGCCCAAGTTAGCTTTGAACTTGTGATCTTGGTTTGCTCCAACTTTTCTGTAACTATGTTGGGAGTTTTCTTATTTTTACTATCTCATGCGAGTGTATGAGGGATGAAAGAGCACTACAAAACAAACATTTTAAGTGTCCCAATTAGAACAGAATTATGGTATAGTATTTCATGACATGGAAACTGACAGAAATGTGTACAAATGTAATATAATTGAAGCACTATTTCTGAAGAAATAGACCATGAGGGATTCTAAACTCTTATGTCATATGCAGTTTTTCTATGAGTGCACCAAATCTGACACCTTTACAGAATATTGTCAACAAATAATTCATACTACTACATTCTCTGCCTTTTGTAGCTCTCAGAAATACACCACAAAAATACCTGGTAAGAACGGATTTCTTAGAATCATGTAAAGCAATGACGGAAACAGGTATGTCTAATAGAAATTCAGGGTTCATCTTCCTAGAGAATACCTATCCACTTTACAGGCAGACATTAATATGAACATATACCTTTGCACAGGAATGGATGAATTTATGCTCAATTATCAGAGTTGCGGTAGCAACAATTTGTCCTAGGGTCACATCTTCCACAACTATAACATAATAATCCCCAGATTTCTTCATATGTTCAAAAGATTCTGTGAAAATTAGAAAACACAGTATTATACTGTAGATATTCTTTTTTTATTAGGTACCACAAAAAATACTAAGATTTTTAAAGCTACCTTTCCAATTTACTTTCCATTTCCTTTTCTTCTTCTTCTTCTTTTTTTTTT